AATACATATGAAACGATCTATAAGAAAAGACAAAGCAATAGTGACCGAGAGATGAAAACATTTACTCATACTTGTGTTGCAACATTACTGTCGGATCCAATATAGTCAGCACAGCATCGTCTTTTAAGTTTAAATCTTTTTTTAATTATCCTGCATTGAATTGTGCCTTATTTGTAAACGAAACTGAAGTTTTGTGAGAGAACACAAAAGTTTTGCGAGAAAACACAAAAGTTTTGCGAGGGAATGCAAATATCTTTGCAAGAGAACATCATAATTTAGAAGTAATAAGCTTTTTTCTGTCCTGCTTTGACCCCCCTCATCAGAACGCTCTGTTTGAATAGGTGTGGTGGTTTGTAGACTCGGAAGTAAACGCCCACTGCAATGATTGGCTAACACTTGTGTATGTTTGACAGCATACATTCTTCATAGATGGACGCTGCTGTGATTTAGGTCGAAAACTCATGAATAACTCAATACATATGAAACGATCTATAAGAAAAGACAAAGCAATAGTGACCGAGAGATGAAAACATTTACTCATACTTGTGTTGCAACATTACTGTCGGATCCAATATAGTCAGCAGAGCATCGTCTTTTAAGTTTAAATCTTTTTTTAATTATCCTGCATTGAATTTTGCCTTATTTGTAAACGAAACTGCAGTACAATGATGTGAACAAAGGACCGAGTTCTTACTGACGAGGTCTGGATCTTCATTAAAAATAGTTAATAAAAAAGAGTTCATCCACTCTTTCCTAACGTTGGGATCACAAGCGAGGCAACGCAAAGACTGTTTTTCCACAGCTTGGCACTTCACAGCATCTTTATGTCTTCGGAGCCATCTTTATCGTTTGGTTTCTGCGTAGACCAGCGTGTTCGCCTCTCTCATAAAAACTACATGCGTGAATAGGTGGGCGGGGCTAAACAGGCATGTCAAAGCAGGCGTTGATCTTTTGTGGAGGTGGTGCTTATCCACACTAATACATAATAGAGTAGAACATTCCAAAAAGCTGTCATTTTGACAGACTGCTTTCAATATAAGCTGTTTGTAGACTAAAGACAAAGTTTTGAGTTTTGAAACTTAGGGGATGTTTTTATAGTACAATGACCTGTCAATGCCAAAAGATCAAGGGAATTTTGGTTTCTCAGTGCATGACCCCTTTAAATAAATAAATAAATAAACCAGGCAGAAAACAACATTTTAGATTGTTTTCTAAAGGACCATGTGATACTGAAGACCAAAGCAAATTCAGATTTGCATCACAGGAATAAAGTACAATTTAAATTACATTTAAATAGAAAACAGTTATTTTTAAATTATCATACTATTTCACAATAGTACTGTTTTTACTGTATTTTGCAAAACAAACAAACAAACGAACATAGCGACACAAATTGCAAACATCATGACTTGATGAAGTGTGAGAACCAAAGAAGCATTTTATTTTTAACATGATCAATGTTTTGAGAGTGAATAAAATGTTGTGTAAGAAGACTTACTACTAGTCATATGGATTCCACATTACTTTTATATCTTTTCAAGTCAAGTCAAGCCAAGTCACGTCACTTCTGGAGCTTATAACTTTTGGACACCATTCATTTTCACAATCTGGAGAAAAACTGCTGAAACAATATGTCCTTTTGTACGGAGCCCCTAAAGGGACATGGCTCATGAACCTTTTAATTACATTTTATTTTATTTTATTATTTTATTATTTTATTTTATTTTATTTTATTTTAAAGCGTGGTGTTTTTGAGTCAGTCAATCTCAACAGACCATAACGGTTAATATAATTTTTTGTAAAATAGCTGTTTCTTTGCTCTCTTGTAAGCTTAATCATGTTTGATAATCAGAGTGAACTGAATAAAATTTACTGCAGCACAAGATTTATTTAACCTGTTAACCTAAGGATGCCAGCATCCTGAAAACTGCTTGTTTATATTAGCTCAAAGTTACTGTTAGTTATAAAATAAGAAAAATATGCAATTAACTTGACAAACTATACATCATTAAAAAGGTCTCAAGCTACATTTTTAACCTCTGTTTGACTATAAAAATCTTCTAGTGACAGTAATTTATTAATTTGTGCCAGGAGTTATGAAAATCAAAATCAGAGTCCGTACATTTAATATGAAATATTAGCCTCAGATTTATCCCTTGCAGAGGGGGAAAAAAAAAACTTCTGTACAGCTGTCATGAAAGTGCTTCACTAAACATTGTCCCTCAGGGCTTTTAGTCCACCATTGACTTTAACACCACTGACCTTAACCTAATCTGTGTTGAGCTTTA